ACTGAGTGATATGCCCTTGACTGGAATCAAATCTGGGACCCTTCAGTTCACAGGCTAATGCTCTATCCACTGAGCAAAACAGGCTGCAGCTTAATTCATTTACTTTTAATCTACATGTGCCTTTATATTTAAAGTGGGTTTTGTTTTTGATTCACCCTCATAATCTGCCTTTTAATTGGTGCATTTATGCCACTGACTTTCAGAGTGCTTACTGATAGAGTTACTGCCATATCAGGTAGCTTCTGGGGCAGACCTGCGGCCCGGGATCAGATCCGATCACGGGCGGCAGGCAGGCGGCTTCTGGGGCTGCCAGGGCTGGCCTGCGGCGTGGGATCGCGGCTTCTGGGGTCGCACACAGGGGCATGGATGGCGGCTTGCGCAATCACGGACCGCAAGCAAGGTGGCTCCTGGGTCCCGGGGGGCCACCTTGCCTGCGGCCTGGCTTTATGGTGGCTCCTGGGGTCACACACAGGGGCCTGGATGGTGGCTCCCAGTGTCCTGCCCTGCCTGCAGTATGCAAATTAGCCGCCATCTTTGTTGGTGGGTAATTTGCATATCGCACTGATAAGCCAATGGGGATGTAGTGAAGGTACAGTCAATTACCATGTTTGTCTATTATTAGGTAGGTACACATTTATCTCTGTAGTGGTGTAAATTCTGAAAAATTGTATGGTTATGGTAATAGTTTATCATTTTGATCATTCAAAATGAGAGCAAATTAATCTGTTTGCCAGAGTTGTTTAACCTATTCTCAGATGACCACATAGATATAATTGATTTCAGAGAGGAAGGGAGAAGGAGAAAGAGATAGGAACATTAATGATGAGAGAGGATCACTGATCAGCTGGCTCCTGCATGCCCCCTACTGGGGATCGAACCCAGGCATGTGCCCTTGGCTGGAATCAAACATGGGGCCCTTTAGTCCACAGTCCACTGAGCCAAACCAGCTTGGGCCAGTATGATTTCTTTAGCAGAGAAAATGGTTTTTGAAAATAAATAGTACCACTTTTCTAAGACTATACATTCAAGAAATAAGAGCTTTTTTTCCTTTGTTGTTTTCCTCTTATACTAGTATTTTAATGGAAAAGCTAATTACAGAAAATTCAGTGTAGATACTAATGAAGGCATTAGTATAAGTTTAAAGGAATATGTGACTAAAAACTCAAGAGAGCTTGGTTTATTCACACTCCATATGCATGTTTTAGGGTAGAATTTTAGAGGTCTTTAATTCACTATATTTGTGGCTTTATTTTTTGTTACCAACTTCCCAGGACTTAGATAATGTACAGATGCAAATCCCAGGGGAAGTGCTGTGATGACAAGACTGGGAACTACTGCTGCTCAAAGTGAGCCCTGTCCCAGGTGAGGATGTAGCATTGCTCCCTCAATGCCACCACCTAAGCTTCCTGTACATGGGTTATATGCATAACTGGATATCATACAGTTTTATAGTTGGAGAAAATGACCTCACTCATTTCACTTGTAATTATGCTTGGAGATTTGGTGATTTATCTTTTTACTTCAACAGGCTCTTAAATACATTTTACCTTTGGTGATTTTGAATATCAGGAAATACAGTTTTTCAGAAATGAAAATAATATATTTGAATCAGCTCAGCTAAAACGTTCTCCAGTAAGACAGTTTCT